TTCTGGCCATTCCAAGAGGATGCAGACATCCTACATGTTCTGTGCCACCTCTGAGTCTTGTGCAGGTACCTGAGGTGCTTGGGAGTGTCTAATGACACTAAAACCATAGGGTTTTAGTCATGGCTGATGGATTCAAACCCTAGATCTGTAATTGGCAGATTTGACACCTACTGCACACCTAAACTTAGATGGTTTAATCTGGATATGGAATGCATACAAAGCATCCAAGTACAGCAAGGGAACACATACCAGCACAACAGAGGGACATTTTGATGCAAGTCAAAACTAGACTTGATGTATGTCAGAAGGGAAAATAATTAATCATACTTCTATAAAAATGAAGAAAACTGAGCATTTGAACATAAGTTTCACACAACAATGTAAAAAAAAACCACAACCACGCACACACAAAAACTTATGATTCAAGTATTTTCTGAAATCAGATTAGATAAAAGGAACAGTAAATTCAGACTTGTAGCTCCTAAAATTATCATACAAAAACAGTTCATTCAAAAATATTTTCACTGTTGTGTCATTAAATACAAATATCTCCCTAAACCTGCTTCAGAGAATGAATTAACATAGCTGTAACGTTCTAAAATAACTGTTGATTTAGTATCAAAAATGATAAAAGACATTTCCTACTTCTTTCACTGGGAAGAAATTAGTTTTGGAACTGCTTGAGCTTAAGTATTGTTTTATTAACTGGGTCTAATTCCCTGTTTATTCCTCTGTGTCCTTACGTGACCTACACTGATCACTTGTAAAGAAGGAAAAAGTGGACAAAACTTACTTTGCTTCCTAAACATTTTGCAACCCGTGCCTGGAGTTATTCAGCCACTTTTGATGTCAGCTGGTATATTAAAACATAATACCCACATATATGCTTAGAGACATATTTGAAGCACCATGGTTACATTAATCTCAAACACAAATTGCTTATGTGCATTTGAACATAAGTTCTTATTTTTCCTTGAAACATGATTACTATTGCACTGAAGTAGATGAGATACTCATGAATCACTCCTGCCTCTTGTTCACGTGCCACATTACCTATAAACAAAGCTGTGTGATTTTCAAAAGCACATAATCCCTCATCTTCAAAGCAACTGAAATTCTCAGGAGCCTTAGTTCTGCTGACTTGACAAAAATGCCTTCAGAGCTGTGAAAATGGGCCTTCTGCTTTTAAATCTCTGTGGCACAAGGCCCATCCACCTATGCCAGTTACACACCTCTCAGAAATTACTTTCCCACTGTGGTGGCCTTTACGTTTTCTGTCTGCCACTGGCTCTGCAGTGCCGGGTACTCCCTGCTGTGCAGCACCTCCGGGACGCGGGCAGTGTGCGGCTCAGCATCCAGCTGGCAGGAGGCTGCACGTCCCAGACCTGCGTGGCTCCGAGCTCCCTGCCAAGCCCAATGCAGCAGACATAACTTGGTCCCATTCAGCTCCCCCATCTCAGTGATGGTGGGCAGCCCGGTGACTTCACACTCCAGCGAAAGCCTCTGCTTGAGGAGCTGGCAAGCTGGGCTCTTAGCAAAAGCAGAGCACAAAAACTAAATCAGTGGAAAGCCTCCAGCAGAACGAGCAGACAGCAAACATGTGACTAAATGTCCAAGATCTGGTCTTGAATGCTGTGCAGTTCTCCGGCCAGCTGCTGGCCTCACACCCTTTTCCCTGCCAGGAGGAAACACGTATGGGATTTAACTGTGTGCCAAGGGTGGATCTGACCCCACTGCTCAGAGCCAGCTCGAAGCACAGGCGCTTGTACAGCTGAATATAAGCTTTACTTTCAAGACGTAAAAACATGCTGTTCTTCTGTGAATCACTCTACATACGAGTCAATATTACACTGTGTCAGCAGTGTGATTTGGTGTAAGACTAGCAAATTTGTGTCCTTTTTTTTGTTGTGCTACGATGAAAATTACAATTACTGCAGTGGATTTCTTCAGGAGCTCTGACACCGCAGATCAACCCCTGTAGCAACATATCAGGTATGGAGTATATCTAACTAAGTTTATAGGAAGGCCTCAGCAAGACTGTGCTGGGCAGAGCTCTCTGTAAGATTTTCAGGATTCATCACCTAGCAATAAGCTAAGAGAGGGGCCGTATGCTCATGAGAAGCATTTGCAGATGCAGGCACACTCACATGGAAAAACAAAAAAGTAGAACAAAACAGCACTGGCTGGCTAAAAACTGTATTATTATTACTTCATCTGTATTACTCAAGAATGACACATGGATGTTCTCCCATGTTATCTCAAAGATTATTGTTCAAGTTTTATTTCCTTGTTGGACTTCTTCAGTTGACCATCTCCCCCACCCTCAAAACAGAAGTGCTACAACCTTAAAAGCAGTTTAGTGATTCAAAATTTATTTTGGGGATGACAAAGCTCTGTTTATTTCATATACACAATCCTGTAGTAGTAATACTGCACATCAGGACACATATAGGTTTATAGCACTGTGTCCTAGCTTTAAGCATAGGACCACAACTAAAATACTTCTTTTTTGATTCTGGAGGTTAACTAATAGAGGTTACTATTTCATCAGTATAGATAAAGTCACCAGATAAAAGGTGACACTGCAGCTAAGTTTTATTTGTATCGTGATTTTTACGTAGGACATGTGGACCACACCTCATCTGGAAGGGATTTAAAAATCATTATGTGCCCTTAAACACTGAGAGGGAAATCAGATGGTCCAGTAGACTGCAGCATCTGAGCAGGAATTATTTTGGTCCATTTAATGAATTTACTGTAACATGCAGACACAGTGGGGAAAGGATCAAATCAGGACACATTCATTTCTGTTCTACTGGCCATTTTGAAAGAGACAGTGAATAGAAGCTGGTACATGTATCAGATTTCACTGAGGAACACTGACTTTCCACATTTCAGCAGAACCAAGGAGGAATTTCCAAATTTTATTTCAGTTCACGTCTAATGAAAGGGAGCGGTATGCAACAGGGAAAAACAGTGTACAGCTTTACCGAGCAGATTCCTATCATAAACTTATCTATACTTTTAACCAAATCAGAAAACAGAGAAGGATGTAGAATAGATTATATAAAAGCCCCACATTGTTTCAGCCACACAATTTTAATATGAAAACAAACACTTCACTACACCATACTTCCTTATGCATTTCTTAAACAGGCAAACTCTTTTCCCATGGGACGTGCATGTAGCAGAATGAAAGTATTGCTCTAAGAAGGAATTAAAAGCAGGGAACAAAAGTGAAAACTGGACTCATGCATTGCCTTCAACAGCCAGATACATCAGGAACTCAGATGAAATTTGGTAAATGTTACAGAAAATGCCTGAATTAGCAAGGGAGAAGAGAATCTCACAGATGATCCGTGGCCTGATAATGCGGAGGACAAGAATCTCACAAACATAGAAGTAAATAAAGACACTGGTGTTCTTTTTAATAAATAAAACAAACTTTATGGAAGAATTCTCTGAAAACTGATCATCTGAGTTCTAATTATATCTTATTTCAGCGTAATGTTTTCGTTAACAACAAGGTAATAGCCCTTGTATTTCTCCATTCATTTTGCAAATATGGGTGTCTAAACTCCATCAGGGAGATGGAGGATTACTACACCGTTAAACTGTAGGATAGTTATGATTACAGGTAACTACGTCATAGACCTTTGATTTAGCATCATATTCCAAAGTTAACAGCAGAAGGGCTCACAAAGTACGCCTTGCAACTCTGTATGTATTTAATTTGCATTTTGTCCTACTTAGGTAGGACTGGAGCCACTGAGTGAAGAAAAAAAATAAACTGAGACGTGAGAAATTTTCACTGAAAATTTTATCAGTCTGTTTACAGCATTCTGTGGAAGCTGTTTCCACCCCACTTTTTTCCAAATCACTCAGCCAGCTGCCCTCTGTGACTTTCCCTGCTTGCATTGGTTTTGGTCAGAAGGTCAGGAGGGGCACCTGCTTCAGGAACCACTCTAGTGATGCTGCTCTGCAGTCCTGGGAGAAGAGGCAACACGTTTGTGTAAGATTAGTAATTATGGAAAACTCACTGTTCTCTCCAAAAGCCAGAATAAGACTGAGCAGACTAGGTTTTGTATTTGTTTACAGGAGCAGATCATAATCCGTGTAAGCGGATCTGTCTGACACAACATAAAACTCCCAATGAAGTTAACAGGAACTTTTTGTTCTAAATGAGTAAAAGACCCATCCCAAAGGACCAAACAGGGTCAAGGCAGGCCTCTGGGTGACACAGAAATGTCTCTGGATCATTGCTGGTTGCAGAAACAGAAAGCATCAGAGAAAGCTCAGCTAGAGGGAGTAATTTCCAGCCCTACATTTAATTTACAAGTGGAAAAATTGAGGTGAATTAGGATGAGAAGGGGATGAACTGTGGAAAGCCAAAGGCACATTCAGTGGATGCAAACCCTGAACAGAGCTTCGCCTAGCTAAGAGGTTTTCTGCTGGCTACCCACAGCCATCTGGCTGTCTGAGGTTACATGTTCTTTTCAAATCCCTTTTATAACCTCTACTTAAGAATTTCTAAGTGTATTTCTTATGAAACTTATTCATACTGGCCTCAGACCAAGTATGTGAAGCCCTGAAGTCCTTCCTTTATACTTCCAAATAGTTCTACATTTACCATAGAAATATACTAAATAGACTCATTAAGGAAAGGAAAAGTTTCCACAAAAAATTAACCTCATGCAATTCTTTCATAACTTTGGTACCTTAGAGGAGTGCATCTCAACATTTAACACCAGCATTGATCTGGTCTGATTACATACCACGCACACAATGCAGTCTACAAAACTCACATTTATTCTGCAACATATAGCCTCAACATTATCCACTCTCTTCACAGTAAGACTAGCTGACATATTTTTCACATTTTGCACCTATCTTACCACAATCAAGGACCTTTCAACAGTCCTGACGCATATAATATAAAAATACTCCTTATATAAAGCTATACACATACAAAGGCACAGAAAGGTTACCATAAAACTTACCATCACTTGAAGAAAGTGAGTCATTTGCACAGACCAGCGCCAAAGTAAACAGCAGATGCCGAAGATCCATAACTCTAATTCTGTAATAATAAAGGACAACAAGAGACTTTATTTATAAACTAACATTATTACAGGTACACGACACAAACTATTATCTATTTTTATTGAACTTCTGATTAAATTTAAACTAGAAGCATATTTAGTTTACGGTTTATTGCCTCATATAGTCACATCATCATTCTGCTGCCTGGGACAGATAGCGTGTAGTATTTTTATACGAAGACTAGCTCAGGGATCTCTAGTTCATTTAATACAGAGGAAAAAAATCAGTATTGTCAATTTCTAGCTTGCTTCCAGGAAGTAACCAAGTAACCACACTCCCCTCCAAAGCAGCCTGTGGGGAGTGGATCCCAATGACTAGCCTAGTTTAAATGTGAAAGTAGGAAAGAAAAACCTCTCTCTTAGGGAACAAAGACACGATGACTGCCTTTCCAGCTTGCATATTCCTGAAGCTGTGCTCGTCTTTGCAGGACATGTACAATGCTTTCTGAGTCTACAACTACATGCAGTAAAAACGGGAGGAGCGAGCAGAGGATAAATGCTGCAGCAGCTGTAGGCAACAAGTAACCCAGGCTAATTCTCTGGTCTATTCCTCCTGGCTTCCCACACAGCTGCAAGCACGTGCTTTGGTGCCCTGCTCTGCAGCGCTGTGCTTAGGAGTCTGCCACGGGAGATGTCTGGTGCTGAAAATCTGTCAGCGTTTCACTGCTGAGAAGGCACCTTCAGGCATGTCCATGCAGCACACCACACGGACAGTCCTCAACCCAACAAGCCTTTGCAACCTCCCCAGAAAGCACGTTCCTCCTTCTCCCTAATTTACCTGTGCCTCAACCTCATCACAACCTGCAACCCTGTGTGAGGGATGCTATGTTGCTTGTGCTGTTACCATTAGCATCTGGAGACAGTGGGGAAGGGCAGGACCTGGGATATGTGCTAGGGTAGCACTTTTACATATGACTGTAAAGGGGTACAGCAAACCTTGATTCTACACTGAAGTGCTTTCAGTTGGACATTTTCTGTCTCCATCTGACAGAATATATCAGCAGTGTCCAAGCCACCTAACCCACTACAGAGCAACAACCTCTTAAGTGGGTGCTACCGATTAACATGACCAATGCTGAAAAATCTGGCTATTGAAACAGTCCTCCTTGAGCGAGCAAAAAAATTCACATTTTTTGCGAATTTTGTGAACAAATTCACAAAAAGGTGTGAATTTAGTCAGCAACTGTAAAACACAAGCAGGCTGAATATGGAAAACTTAACATTAAACTTAAAAGATATTTCCCTCTTAATTTTCTCACCAAGAGAACAGATTGACTCGCTTCAAAAAAAACCACACCACAATTATTACAAACTCCAGATTCCTCATTCACGCAGTTTAGAATAAAACTTGAAAATCTGAAGATATTTCTCACATCCTCATTAACACAACCGCTCAGTAATTCTTCAGTTTCATGCCCAGCACAGGGAGGATGTATCCGGACCACCCTGCGGAGCCTAACCCAGGATGCTTCCCACTGGAGAGGGGCTGCTGCAGGGCTGCCTGGCTGCAGCACTCACCCTGTGCGAGCAGACGTGGCTCTGCCCGAAGGCAGCAGCCTGTCCTCCTGTGGGCAGGGAGGAAGGGAGCTGTATGGCAGGGCTGGATGTGTGCTCGTGAAGGATTAGGGCTGGTGTGGGAGCCTGCGGAGCAGAACCGAGGAGCAGCGAAAGGCTGCAGCTGCTGGAGAGCAGCACAGAGCTGGGAAGAAGTTTACAAAGCAACTACAGGGCAGTGATCCTGTTCGTAGAGAGGAGCTACACTGGCACAGCATGAGGTTCATCCCAGAACAGTGATGTTTTCAGCTAGCTCAATTGTTCCCCCAACTCTGTCTGTACTTATGTTTAGAGGATTCTTATTGTTTCTTATTAATAAATCTTCTACAGAAATGCTTCACTGTACTTGCCAGTTCCCCTCCTCTTAGACAGCTCATGCCCTATCAGACATCCCCCACCCCTTACAGCCTCTCCACTTTCTCCCTGAAGTTTTGTTCTCTCTTTCACAGCCCTGAGCACATCACTATTTACAACTCTGCTCTGCCCTCTGCGCTGTTAACACCCAGACATCCCATGCTTGCCTCTGATCACACCTGCCTGCTCTCTCCTGTCCATCAACCTCTGCTCATTTTGCTCTTCTCCAAACTTTCCTACCTCTTCCTGCTTAATGACATGACATGAAAAAAAAGTAACACAACCCTCCTGGGAGTTCTCCATGCAAAATGATCAGCACAGTCGGTCATTCACAGCACATCTGTGAGCAGAGGTTGTTACAAGCACACCGCGCCGAGCAGCACCGTGCTGAGAACGGGATCGTCTCCCAGGCGCAGCCACCACAGGCAGGGCAGTCCCCTTCGTGTGCTGGGACGAGCACTTATCTCAGCTTCCTGCAAGGAGAAGTGGTTTGACAGATGGAGCACTAACCCAGGAGTCTGGAAATATATCCCAGAGGTCAACTATCACGTTAAACCTCAGTATGGCCTTGCTGCTGCAGATAAAAACAATCCTGCTCCAGCACTGCTCTTCCTCGTGTGCTGGCGGTCTTGTTTACATACCTGCTGCAGCGAACGCCATCAGGAAATTGTTCCAGTTGAAATCAATGCATAAACATTTATTTTAACAAATAATTGTAATAAATTGTAACAGAAAAAGCCAACAGGTGTAGTCTGAACATACCCAGTACAGACAAGACTGACGTCAAACATGGTGGCTGCTCTCATGTGAAAATACAGAAGGGCCACACTGCCCACTTTGTACAACAGGACCTGGAAAAGGCAAACTGTGCTTCTTCCCTTGGAGCTCAAACCCAGAGCCCGTGGGACAGGGCTCGTGCTCAAGGTCCCCCCCCCCACCCAAGGCAGAAGGAGCTCTGCATGCTGTGTGAAGCACCAGGGTCTCTGTCGCCTCTCTGCACCCAGCACATTTACAAAGAGCTCCCACAGCTGTAGGCTCGTGGGAGAAAATCTGCAGCACAACAGGAGCTGCCCCACCATGATACTGATTTTGGCGGTACAGAACAAAATTTCAGACAGAAGATTCCTCTGGAGCACCATCTGCTTCACCATTAGACGACCACCTTGCACGAAGTTCTCACATGTGTGGTTTGCAACAGCCTGCTCTTGTTCCTCTGTAACACTTGTGCAAGCTCACAAGAACAGCATTGTTCAGAGGCTGCAGTGTTAACCTAGTGAGAGACAGCTTTTCTCCTCTGATCTGCTTTAGGATAAACCTGACCTTTCACAATCTAGTAATCTCTGCCTCCCTGCATCTGTATGAAAGACAAATACCACTAATAAAGTTCCCGTTATCGAGCAGAACAAGACGTTTCAGTGTCTTTAATACCTGCTATTCTAAAGAATAATAGTCTGTGTCTTGCCCAACTCCTGCAGTTCGTAAGAACGAAGAGAGCTAAAACCAGAAAAATAATTACAACAGCTGACTGTCCTCAAGGCAGCTGAAACTTGACCACAGGAACATTTGGCTAGAGGTCAGCTCAGGCTAATTGCTTCAGTGGAGAAAGGGAGCCAGGAGTTATAAAAGGATAGAAAAATTCCTGGCCCTTTTCTATAGCAGTGTTGGAGTAAGGTCAATCACAAGTGAATTTAAACACATCTCTCCAGTGGGACGTGAACACAGTCAGCACAGACAGGGGAAACCAGGCTAAGAAAACCCATGAAAAAATAAATTGTTTAGTTACAGCCTACTGAGTGGTTTGCATCTACTCTGGACAAACAACTATGTTGACACTCGAAGCAAATCATAAAGAGTTTTGCTTATAAACAAAACTGTTGTTTGAAGCGAGATCTTTACATTTAGATGGGTCCTGAACCTGACAGGACCTGAAGGAAAGAGAAGGATATTACACTTCATTAAATTATGCCTAAGAAGGAATTCTTGCTTTTGCCATCTCCATTAACTCACTGGACTCCAAGTACTCCAAACATGAGATTTTTTTTTTCCCCTGTAACCTCCTTCAGTTTCACTTTGCTTGCCAAATAACACATGTGCAACTATTCCAGAACCAAAGGTGGCTTCTCTGCTGCAAACTGAACAACATTACTGAGTGAAGGACTAATCCGAGAAGATGTAATATTTTTTTTCTTTATATTTCTACCTTTCATCATTCCATCAATCACAAACAGGCAAGGACACAAGAGCTTGCAGCGCATGCAAACGCACATAAATACAGCCATCATCAAGTAGGAATGAGTGCTGAGGAGAAGGGCATGCAAGTCCAGCCTCTCAAGCTCTGCACCACTCTAAAGCATGTTTAATCAAATACAAAATATGTATGTACATACCCTTGCAGAATTTTTTTGGGGAAGAACCTTTCTTTTTTTGCAGCGTGTACATTCCTTACAAGCTATCTCATGGCAAGATCAGTGACACAAAGAGAAAATCTTTCTGTGCTTGCATAACATATTTCACACAGGTTTGGCTCAATATGCATAGCTGAAATCACTTTGCCTGCTTACCCTCATTTCACTAAATGCCAACAGGACAGAGTCATTCTGCAGATGAAATGAGTTATAGCCTTTCAAATCAGCACAATCTAAAGCTGCCACAGACCTAAAGACTTCTTTGCTTGCTTGCTGATATTACAGCTTGATTGAGTCATCAGCAGCACTTGGATGAATGCCTGTTTTTTATAGAGTCCTTGTCAGTGCTATATACTCGTCCATGTTGGGATCGGGCCAGGCAGGGCTAATTTTCCGGCATCAAGCCTACTTCAGGGAGCCGCCAGGACCCGGCAGCCCTCGTGAGGGAGCCTGACGAGGCGAAGGCGCAGCCACCCCCTCCCCAGCCGTTCAAAAGCAGCCCCTAGGGAGCGCGAGCGACCAGGAGCGCGGCGACCAGGGCGTGGCACGTCAGTTCGCGCAGGAAGGGCGGAGAGCAACCGCCTGCCCACACGAACACCTCTTGACAGCCGTTAGCTAGGCGATAATGGTGTCCACCAGGCACGGTGCGCTCTCCAGGAGGTCGG